CCTCCTCACACATGACATCCCAGTATTTCCAACCAGAGCAAATTACTTGCACTTTATAAAGCGGCAGCTCTGTCATACATTTCTTTCTGCCTTTAACATGGTTTGTCTCTGCTGCCGGGACAGCCCCACCTCTTCCGTGTCTGCTTGGCCAGCTTCTACTTGTTCTTCAAGGCTGGTCTAAAGCCTCACTTCCCTTTGAGGCTTTTCTTGGATCCTCCAGACCAAATTTGCTGTTTCCTATAGCAACTGGCATATATATTTTTTATTGCATTATATGGCAGTTGTTTACGTGTCTTTCTCTCATACTAGACTGTCGTCATCTTGGGCAATTTGCAATTCATTTTTGTATGCTCACTTCTTTTTTTTTTTTTAGATGAAGTCTCAGTCTGTCACCCAGGCTGGAGTGCAGTGGGGAATCTCAACTCCATGCAACCTCTGCCCCCTGGGTTCAAGAGATTCTCCTGCCTCAGTCTCCCGAGTAGCTGGGACTACAGGCATGTACCATCATGCCCAGTTAATTTTTGTATTTTTAGTAGAGACAGGGTTTCACCATGTTGACCAGGATGGTCTCGAACTCATGACCTTGTGATCCACCCATCTTGGCCTCCCAAAGCGCTGGGATTACAGGTGTGAGCCACCACACCGGGCCACTCACTCCTTTTTGTATGGAAACATGGCAGACTCTCTGAGGATGTTTGTTGATAAAATGAATTCAATAATGATGTAATTATCATATCTATTCTTACAATAGTAGAGAGCACAACTGAAGCCAGGACAGTATGACAGGAGGGATAAGTCTAGAGCTGTCATGTCCAGTACAGAAACCACTAGCCACATGTGGCTGTTGATCACTTGAAATGTGAGTAGTTTGAGTTGAGATGTGCTATGTCAAATACATGGGATTTTGAAGACTCAATGAAAAAAGATTTTAAAACATCTCATTAATATATTTCATGTTGATGACTTGTTGAAATGATAATCTTTTGGATATATTGGGCTAAATAAAATATATTATACATTAATTTTATGGTTTCTTTAAACCTTTTTGATGTGGCTACAAGAAAATTTAACATTATACATGTGGCCGGACACAGTGGCTCATGACTGTAACCCAGGCACATTGGGAGAACAAGTTGGGCAGATTGCTTGAGATCAGGAGTTCAGGACCAGCCTGGGCAACATGGTGAAACCTTGTCTCTACTAAAAATAGAAAAAATTAGCTGGGCATGGTAGTGCAGGCCTGTAATCCTAGCTACTTAGGAGGCTGAGACACGAGAATTGCTTGAACCAGGAAGGTGGAGGCTGTAGTGAGCTGAGGTCATGCCACTGCACTCTAGCCTGGGCAACAGAGTGAGACTAGGTCTGGAAAAAAAATTAATAAATAAAAATAAAATAAAATTATGCATGTGTCTCACAGTGTATTTCTGTTGAGCAATAATGATCTAGAGCATTCATTCATTCAACAAATATTTCTTTTTTTTTTTTTTTCTTTTTTTGAGACAGAGTTTCGCTCTTGTTACCCTGGCTGGAGTGCAATGGTGTGATCTCAGCTCACTGCAACCTCCGCCTCCTGGGTTCGGGCAATTCTCCTGTCTCAGCCTCCTGAGTAGCTGGGATTACAGGCACGCACCACCATGCCCAGCTGATTTTTTAATATTTTTAGTAGAGACAGGGTTTCACCATGTTGACCAGGATGGTCTCGATCTCTTGACCTCGTGATCCACCTGCCTCAGCCTCCCAAAGTGCTGGGACTACAGGCTTGAGCCACCGCACCTGGCCTAACAAATATTTCTTTCTTTCTTTCTTTCTTTCTTTTTTTTGAGCTGGAGTCTTGCTCTATCACCCAGGCTGGAGTGCAGTGGCGTGATCTCAGCTCACTGCAACCTCCGCCTCCCAGGTTCAGGTGATTCTCATGCCTTAGCCTCCTGAGTAGCTTGGACTACAGGCCCACGCCACCATGCCTGGCTAATTTTTGTATTTTTAGTAGAGATGGGTTTTACCATGTTGCCTAGGCTGGTCTCAAACTCTTGACCTCGAGTGGTCTGTTCGCCTCGGCCTCTCAAAGTGCTGGGATTATAGACTGAATCACTGCACCTGACTGCAAATATTTCTTGAGCACCTCCTATGTACCAGGCATTAATCTAGATGATGGGAATAGAACAACAAACGAGCCAGAGAAGGTTCCCAACCTCGAGGAGCTTCCATTATCATGGAGGAGAGACCCAGACCAGCAAACAAAGGTGTAAGCCAGATAATTTTATATAGTAAATGCACTCTGAGTCAAATAAAGCAGGGCACTTGATACAGAGGTGAAAGTGCAGGAGGGCAGTTAGGTAAGGCCTTCCACAGCAGCTGAGTTAGCTGAGGTCAGAGGCAGGAATTGGAGGGAGGAGACTAGGACATGTTTAGATGACAGGCAGTATAGACCAAAACGAAGAGGAGGGGCAGAAAGGGAGGAGCAAACGGACTTGATATGTGGAAAGTAACACTAGTAGAACTGTGTAACCAAAGGAATTCCGGAGTGGTGGGAACTGATGGCTCCCAGGCTTCTGGCTTGAGTGAGTGGGTGAATCGTGGTGCCACCAGATGAGATAAAGCAGGAGTGTGTCTTGAGGAATCGAGGAATTCCGTTCTGACAGTGTGAGGTGCCACTGGGATGCCCAGGAAGCCATGCTAAGGGAATAAATGGTCAGGACTTGTTATCTGTGATCTAGCAGCATAGATGTAGCCATTAAAACTGAGTGTATATGAGAATTAAGAGAAAAGATGGTAGGCAGAAGAGGACACTCAGTGCTTGGTGTGGTGGCTCATGCCTCTAATCCCAGCAGTTTGGAAGGCGGAGGCAGGTGGATCACCTGAGATGAGGAGTTTGAGAGCAGCCTGGCCAACATGGTGAAAACCCATCTCTACTAAGAAGACAAAAATTAGCTGGGTGTGGTGGCACGCACTTGTAATCCCAGCTCCTTGGGAGGCTGAGGCAGGAGAATCGCTTGAACCCTGGTTGGCAGTGGGGTGGGGTGGGGGAGGGCAGAGGTTGCAGTGAGTTGAGACCGTGCCACTTCACTTCAGCCTGAGTGAAAGAGCGAGACTTTGCCTCAAGAAAAAAAAAAAAAAAAGAAAAGAAAGAAAACAAAAAGAAAGTAAGACACTCAGGACGAGGGAGCACATTTCTAAATTGGAAGATACTTGAGCATGTGTCTAGGTTGAGGGGAAGGATCCAGGGCAGCCAGAGGGGTTCACTTATCCCGAAAGCCAGGGAAGGTTCCTGTGAAAAAGTCTTCCCAACTACAAGCATTCTGACCACTCACATTTTCAGCATTGAGAGAAATTATTGTCAACAGAAAAATCATGTAATCCCCAATATGTATATCACAATACCTTGAAACTTTGCCATGTCATTTGGGTCCCTTGTGGGCTCTGAGGGAGCAGCTCTTAGAAGGTGAGACTGATGCAACAAGGTTGGGTGGTGATGGAAGGGATGGGCTGGCTTGAGAGCCTGGCTGGGAGGAGATCAGAGGTGGAGGAGGAGGTGTCTTTTGTCACGGAGGCAGCAGGAATTTAAGGAGAGTGGTGACAGTTAGGGTGGAAGAGGGTGATGTCCAGATAACAGGTGAGGACATCTCTTGAAGAAACTATGAATATGTCACAATGTGAGCTAAGGCTTTGCACTCAGAGTTGGAGAAAGCTTCGAGAAGAACTAGGACAAGAAATTAGGAAAACTAGCTTTTGTAAAGTGAAGTGGCCCTGGAGCAGGCCATAGCCTCCTTGTGGCTCGTTTTCCTCATGTCTAAAATGAGCCAATTGGTCTTTTAGAGGCTGGATGTGGTGGCTCACTTTGTGAGGCCAGAACTTTCAGAGGCCAAGGAGGGAAGATCACTTGAGCCCAGGAGTTTGAGGCCAGCCTGGACAACATGGTGAGACCCTGCCTCTACAAAGAAGAGGTGGTACTAGACTGTAGTCCCAAGCAGCTAGGAAGGCTGAGCTGGGAGGATGGCTTGAGCTGGGGAAGTGGGGCTGCAGTGAGCCCTGATATCTCCACTGCCTCCAGCCTGGTTTGCAGAGCGAGACTCTGTCTTAAAAAAAATAAAAAAACAGCCCCCGCACAGTGGCTCATGCCTGTAATCCTGGCACTTTGGGAGGCTGAGGCGGTGAATCACTTAAGGTGAGGAGTTCAAGACCAGCCTGGCCAACATGGCGAAACCCCGCCTCTACTAAAAATACAATAAATTAGCCAGGCATGGTAGCGTGTGCCTGTAATCCCAGTCACCCTGCAGGCTGAAGCAGGAAAATTGCTTGAACCCAGGAGGCAGAGGTTGTGGTGAGACAAGATCGCACCACTGCACTCCAGCCTGAGTGAGAATAAGACTCTGTCTCAAAATAAATATAAAATAAAATAAAAATAAATCCCTCAAACAGCAATAACAAAAATACATAAATGGTCTCTTAAATTCCCTGGAAGTTGTAAGGACAGTAAGTACATGCCAGTACCTCCCTCAGTTGCTGCAGCTGTTCTCCGCCTGGAACTCACAGCCCTTCAGAAAGCCAGCTCCAGCGGTCAGCACAACACCTGGCACGCTATATTTCCCATACCAGTAAGCATCTATCATTTGGAGGGAGAGGCTTGTCTTCCAGTCTTTGTACCCTGTAGGGCCCAGTGCAGGCTGGCTGGTGGCAACCTGGCCTCCAGGAATACTTCCTAGAATAGCAATGAATGGCACTCTAAGTCTCTTAGAAAGTCTTGGCATTCATGTCCATTTCAATTAAAAAAAAAAAAAAAAAAAAGAATTGCAGGAGATGGTCTAGTGAGCAGTGCAGGATAACGCGGTTCCCAGGTATGAACTCAGTTAATCCCACAGTCACATTATGAAGTGGGTTATCCCCATTTCCCAGAGAACGGAAAAGACAGAGAGGTTAAGTAACTTGACCAAGGTCAACAGCTGGTGAGTGGGGAGCCAGCGTTTAAAGACCGGATTCCGGCTCTGTGCCTGGGCTGTGCCTGCTGCCCGCGGATGGCTGCTGGGGCGGAGAGGTTCGGAGGTTTCAGGGGCATTTTGTCCTTTCCCACCTCTGGGGCGTGGGCTCCCCCTGAACGATCCCGCGGGTCCTTCCTGCTCTGACACCCCCGGGTCTGGCTCCACTTCCCCCAGCCCGCAGCTCAGCCGCGCGCCTCTCCAGCTCGTCGATGACCGGCTCCCGGCCGTGACACCGGCCCTCCCTCGGAGCGCACGCCACCAGGGGCATCTGTCCCTTCGCGGGGGTGTCGCCGCCCCTCGGCGCCGCCAAGCGCTAGCCGCTGAGCCCTGGCGCCCCTGGCAGGAGCACGGCGAGGACGCCTCCCCGGACTGCACCGCCGCCCTGCGCACCCGGGGCGGCGCTACGGGGCGCGGAGGGCGGCTGCGGGCCGGGCGGGCGCGGCGAGCAGACACAGCTGAGGGGACGCCGCTGAGGGCGCGGCGCGGGGTGCGCGGCCGGGGCGCCTCGAAGGGCCAGTGGCGAGGGGCGCGGGCGCCGCCGGAAGCTGGGGCGGGGCGCCCGGCGGGATGCGGTGAAGGGCGAGCGGCGAGGCGGCGGCGATGAGTGCCTCTGCGGCCACCGGGGTCTTCGTGCTGTCCCTCTCGGCCATCCCGGTCACCTATGTCTTCAACCACCTGGCGGCCCAGCATGAGTGAGTGAGCGGGCGCGGCGGGGTCGCGCCGAGGGGCGGCGGGAGTTGGCTCCGCGCGGCGGGAGCCTAGCAACTTTTCCGAGGGGGCTGGGGCCGCCCGCCGCCGGGCAGAGGTTCGCGGCTGCAGGGGCTCCCCGCGCCTGGCCAGACCAGGGGGCGCCCCAGGGGTCACGCGAGCCGGGTCGTGGAGCTGGGCCCTGACATGCCCAGGCTGGCGCAGTTCGGAATGTGGTACCAGCACCGCGCCAGGTGCCCGGGGCCACAGGGGTCAATACGGCCATGCCCCTGCCCTGGAGGGGCACAGGGGCCGGTGGGGAGCGGAACGCACAGGGACACTACGAGCCTGGCCGCGTCAGCTAGTGTGTGCCTTGTTCTTTTTGCATCTCACGGGAACGTTTCCATGTATGGACTCTCGCATACTTATCATTTCTTATTAATTTTAGAAACTGTTGTGAATGACTAGCAGAAATAGCCCGGAACCAACAGGCAGAGACGTGGGTTCCAGGCCTGGCTTTGGCACTGACGGTGTGGTCTGGCCTCAGTTTTCCGGTCTGTCAAGTGGACTTTATGTGCGTCCTATTGTAAGGCTCCACGGAGACCTGCTTGTGAAGGGGCCTTGTGAATGGAGAAATGCTTCCCAGTGCCTGCGCTGGGGTAGGATGGGGACAGGCAGCAGAGGGAGAGCACTTCAACGCAAAGGAAATGGGTGGGGCTGACGGAGGGGGACTGGGCTTGGGTTCGAAGCCCTGCCTCCCTCTCCTCTGCAGGGATCACTGACCAACCTGCAGCAGGCAGCTGAAGGCCTGAGGGTCGGGGGTCGTTGGGACACGCGCCAGCCTCTGTGCCTGCTGATGTTGGCTGGTGTCTGCAGGGAGGAGGAAGTAACCTGCTATGTTTCTCAGCCGTTGGTGCTAAGGAAATTGCATCAGTCTGTAGGCTGCAAACCCCCTTCGGCTGGTCAGGCCACAGAGTGTCTGTACATAGGGTGGTAACTTCCTCCTCTCTAGCTGCCAGGCCACCTGATCCAGGCAGCACCCACTGAGCGCTCACCAGGCACCGGCAGTGTCTGCCTTTGGTCTGACCTAGTCTCTGGAAGCATCTCCTGGAGGCAGCCGCTCTGGGCCACTGAATGCCTATCAATATAGTGCATGGGGACCCTGTGCTCCTAAAAATAGCATTATGGACAGATCAGTGAATATATATTGAGTGCCTACTGTGTGCTTGGTACTGTTCCAAGTGTTGGTGACATAGCTATGAACAAGCCAGAAGAGGTTGTGGAGATAGGTATTCAGACAGACATCAACAAATATTAATACATAGATAGTGACATGCTATGAAGATAAAATAGGGTGACTGGGGAGGCAGCTGGTGGCCAGGGAAGGCTTCTAGGAGGAGGTGACACTTGAGCTTTGGGAAGACTGGGAATGGAGTCTGTCAGGCAGGGAAACAGAGCGGTGCAGGGGAAGGAAGTGGATGGGCGTAGTAGGTATTTTGGAGGGTGAACAGATGGGGCTTACTGAAGGGGGTTGCATGGCAGCAAAGAGAGGATTTGAGGATGAGCCCTAGGTTTTGGCCTCAGCCACTGGGAAGATGGTGATGACATTTACTGAATGCAGACTGAATTATATATTGTTGTGCACGACGGAGCGCGTTGCCAAGCACTACAACATTTTGAATAATTAGCATCAGCCATTCTTCCTGTCTTCCAGGTTAAAACCCCAGTGACCTTTGATTCCTCTCTCTTCTTTCTCCACTTCCTCCTAGTATCCCCTTCCCCACAAGTCCTGGGACTCTAGTGTCTGCTCCCCACTTTCTGTTCTCCCTGGCATTGGCCCTGTCTGACCTGGACTGTGGTAAAGACTCCCATGTGAGTCCCCTCCTCCAGTCCCCTCCACTTCCACACACTCGTGCTCCTGCCACCCCAGCCTGCCTTTGCTCCGTGACCACTCCTCCTCCCCTCCCGCCTCTAGCCTGGACTCCTGCTCTCCCTGACTAGGATGCTGCCTTCCTCTGATTACAGACAGCTGAAGCCACACCTGGACTTTATGGCCCACTTGTACCTTTTGCAGACCCTCCCTCTGTCTCCTTTGAGCTCCCTCAGTGCCTTGTTTGCACCTTTCTCCCAAGAATTACTTCCCTGTGGTCAGAACTTACCTGCCCTGGCTGTTACTCACCTCTGTACTATCCTGCCCAAGCCCGCGCCATGTACATCGTAGGTACTCAGGTATGTTTGATTTTGTTGAGTTTCCTTCCCACCAAACCGTTTATGCCACTCTGAAAACCAGAAAAAGCAAATTAGATTGAGAGATAAGGAAAGGATTGAGCATGTTCTGTCTCCCTGTTTCACTGAGAGACACACACTGCTCACACTAATCCATGCAGGTCCCCTCTCAGTAGGTGTCTGATAGAAGGGTATCAGCATTCTCTCCCACCCAAGGCTAGTAACTTTCTCATCCTGGGTTAGTGGCAGCCCGCACCTGTTCCCGAGTCCCCGCAGGACCTCTTTCTCCCTGCAGTGAGCAGGTCCTGCACTTGGCTGTTGTAGGAGGGTCTTTGGGGACAGTGCCAAGAGTCAGAGACAATCTGCTGCCCCAGTTTCCTTTCATTCTTCCCTCCTCCCCTGGAGCTGAGAGCATGAGAGGATGCTGTGAACCAGTTTACGCTACTCTCTCCTGCTCCAGAAGAGCACCAGCCACGCCATCCTGCTGGCAGTGACTGAGTGCAGGAGTGAGGACAGGAGTTGTCACCTGACCACCACCTGCCTCAGGCTGTTCACCATTAAAATGTCTGTCAGCTGACCCAGCACAATCACCTCACGAGATTCTTCAGCCCAGTATCACACTCTTGACTCACATTGGCTTCCTCCTTCTTCAGCTTATCCCCATAGGAGGAGCCTGGAGCATCCGCTGATGTACAATCACCAGAAACCTCTTATTTTTCAGTTTCTCACCTGGATGATGAAATAGCCACCCTCATTCTTTTTTTTAATTTAATTAATTTTTTTTTTTTTTTGAGACAGTCTTGCTCTGTCACCCAGGCTGGAAGTGGTGCGATCTTGGCTCACTGCAACCATTGATCCCCGGGTTCAAGCGATTCTTCTGCCTTAGCCTCCTGAGTAGCTGGGATTACAGGCATCTGCCACCTAACCCAACTTATATTTTTAGTAGAAACGGAGTTTTGCCATGTTGGCCAGGCTGGTCTCGAACTCCTGACCTCAGGTGATCCGCCCGCCTCGACCTCTCAAAGTGTTGGGATTACAAGTGTGAGCCACTATGCCTGGCTTTCTCATTCTTATCATAGAATGAATCCATCTATCATTTATCCATCCATTCACCCATCTTCCATCCAGTCATCCCTGATCCATCCAGTCATGCATTATCTATCCATTCACCCCTTATCCATCCATCCATTCATCTATCATCCTCCATCATCCATCAGTTCATCTATCATCTATCCATCTATTCACCCATCATCCACCCATTCACTCATCATCCATTCATCCATTCATTCATCATCTATCCATTCATCCATTCATCCTTCATCATCCATCCATCCATTCGTTCATCTATCCATTCATCCATCCATCATCCACCCATCCATCATTTATCCATTCATCTGTCCATCATCCATTCATCCACCAATTCTCCATTCATCTGTCCATCATCTATCCATTCATCCTTCCATCATCCATCCATCCATTCATCCATCATAATCCATCCATCTATCCATCCATTCATCATCTATTTGTTCCCCCATTCCTTCCCTCCTTCTATTCTTCTCTTTCTCTCTCCCAGGGGATGGTGACAGTTATCCAAAGGTTCCAATGTTAGGCTGTGGTGGTGTTGAGGGGTCTCAGCTGAGGAATGGTGCTTGTAGCTTCTCCAAGCTGAAGAGGTCCTGGTGTAGCAGGCCTTCAGAGTGGGCCAGGCAGTATTTTTTCTAGAATTGGAAGCCCTGTCAATCCTGGAGGGGTGAGAGGGAGAATATCTCTGCTGGACTGCAGGAGAACTCCTAGGTGGTAGAGCTGAGTCCGTTGAGATAGGTTCCTCCATGGAGGCAGGGACTTCTCTTGTTTCTCCAGTCTCCTAGGGCCTGAAACAGTGGCTGCCACATAGGGGTGCACAATACACTTTTTTCTTGATATGTTTTTGAATTAATTAATTAATAGATAGATGCAATGATATGCCTTTCCTAGGGTGACACAGTTAGTCAGCAACAAATTGGGTACCAGGATCCTGGTTTCCTGACATACCTCTACCAAGCCTCATGCCCTAGTGCTGCCCCCCTGGGTAGTGGCCTTGGCCCCTGCTGTCCTTGGTGCCATTCCCTTTTCCTGTAGAACGTCCAGGGGATGTGCAAGCTTCACTTTGGTTCCTGTGGTTTGGGGTTGGATGCTGGTCTGTTGGCCCTGGTTACGGGGTGTTGGGCTGTCTTCATTCTGGCCTCAGGTCTAGCCCAGACTCTTCTCATCCACGGATTTCCTGGCCTCATTCTCTGGCCCATTTGATGATACACATAACATAAGGTCACTTCTTTCTTGTTCCTGGAAAGCATGTTTAGGTGTAATGCCTGTATGTTCTTTGGAGCTCAGTCCAAGGGTTTCTGACTGGCCCTGAGAGGGAGGTAGCAGTCTGTGGTGAGGCCTGTCAGCTGCTGGGGAGCAGGGGTTAGAGGAACGGGTAGGTGGAGGCAGTGGGGCAGCGGCCATCTGTGCAGCAGGGTGGGGTGAGGCAGAGGGAGCTCCAGACACGCCATCTGTGCACATCAGACAGGATAAGAGGAGAACAAGGGCCTCATGGCTCTGGTCCCTGAAAGTCATGGGCTGCGACCCAGACGGGCCAAAGAACTGCAGATAAGCTTCACTAACTCTACAGTGCTGAGAGCTGCAGGCGGAGGCAGAATTACAGATGAATTATGCAGCACTAGGAGCGAATGCATTCAACAGTCAGGAAATTCCAGGCACCAATGTGTTTATTTTGATAGTGACCACCTCCCTGTTCTGGTTGTTGCAGTTCCTGGACTATTGTAGGGGTTGCTGCCCTCATCCTGTTCCTGGTAGCCCTGCTGGCTCGTGTCCTCGTCAAAAGAAAACCCCCCCGGGACCCGCTGTTCTATGGTACGTCTCCACAAAGGGAAATCTTTTGTGTCTGATTAATAACACAATGCTTTTGGCCCCAGTCACAAACTCCTCCTTGGTTGTGAATGATCGGAGCCCTTTGGTAATGGTGGCTGCAAGTGTAGGGGAGTTTCAGGACAATGTGTCCCTTGACTCTGGCTATTGCCCCTCAGGCTGTGGACTCCACCCTGTTCTGGGTAGCATCCTGGTGGAGGGTTACTGCTAGGCCAGGCAGGGCACCCTGCCAACCCCAGCATGCTTTGACCTCTGATCTCTGACCTCTGACCTTGACTCTCATGCCGGCTCTTTCCTAGACTTCCTGTCTTAAGCCTGTTACTTGCAGTCTGCCCCTCCCCCCACTTTGCGCAGAACTTAACTGTGTGGTACCTGTGCCTGCACATACAAATGAGGAAAATAACAGAACCTGCCATGGAGACAAGCACCTGTAGTGCGCCTTGTATGGCCCTGAGCACTTCAGCAGCAGGCTTTCACCCCACCCTCACCATCCTTCCACTTGAAAGTGAAGAAGCTGGCTTGGAGATGCTAAGACATGTGGCAAAGGTCGCATGGCTGTTGACCCCCAAAGCCTATGCCCTTCCATCCTGCATGCTGCCCCAGCCAAACTGCTACTGGCCTTTGGGTGCTTCCTGTGCCAGGCACTTTGCTGGGCATTTTGTTCTGTGGTTTCTGCTTCAGTAATGCTGCGTATCAAATGCACCCCAAATCCTACAGCAACAAACATTTATTTTTCTTGCTCACAGGTCTGTGGGTTGGGGCCACTCTGCATCAGGCTGTGGGTTGGTTTCAGGGCTGTTCTCTGTCTCCTTGTTCCTGGACCAGCAGCTCCCAGGGCATGCCCTTCTTATGACAGATACAGAGGCACAGCGGGGCTAGTGGGAAGAAAGCGGTGGCTTTTAAGGCCTTGGCTTGGAGCTACCCACTCTTATTCCCACCCATATTCCACTGGCTGAGACAAGGCATAGGGCCCAGCTGGTCATCAAGAGCCTAGGGAGCATTCTTTGCCCAGAGTGGGCCTTGGCAAAGGTGGGGTGGGAAAGAAGAATTGTGGGTAACTAGTTTCTTCCAATCCACATATAAGAAACTCTCAAGTGGCCAGTCATGGTGGCTCATGCCTGTAATCTCAGCACGTTGGGAGGCCAAGGCAGGTGGGTCACGAGGTCAAGAGATTGAGCCCATCCTGGCCAACATGGTGAGACCCTGTCTTTACTAAAAATACAAAAGTTAGCTGGGCATGGTGGCACGAATCTATAGTTCCAGCTACTCGGGAGGCTGAGGGAGGAGAATCACTTGAACCCGGGAGTCAGTGGTTGCCATGAGCCAAGATCATGCCACTGCACTCCAGCCTGGCAACAGAGCAAGACTCCATCTCAAAAAAAGAAACTCTGAAGCTTATAGAAATGATGTCACTTGCCTATATTTTTGCAGGCAGGCAGTAGAGGAGCTCGGTCCATCTGATTTGAAGGCCCACACCCCTTTTCCTGGCCCTCTCCACTGGCCTGTGCTCTGGCCCCTATGTACCTTTCCAGACGAGTCTCCTGCTGCTCTCTGTCCCTCCTGTTCCTCCCCACTCCATGGAGCCTATACTAACTGTACTGATGTCTCTCCCTATTCTTCAAGGCTGGGCACACTCTCTCCTGCACCCTCAGGGTCAGGACCAAGGCCATACTCCTCACCCACCAGAAGGCAGAGACCATGTCCTTGTCATTGCTAACACAGTGTCTGACACTTGTGCTGGCATCAGCAATCATTGGCAGATTATGTGCCAAACACTTCCCTTCATGGGAGACGTACTAGGGAGCCTTCTGAAAAATGAGCATCAGGAAGTGGCACTGTCAGTGACAACTGAGCCAAAGCCCCCCCAGTGGAGGTGTGGGGAAGCCACATCTGCAAGACAGGGCACATACAGCCTTTTGTTCCTTCTGGAGAGAATGTGAGTGCTGGCCTCCTGGCTGCCGACTCCAGGCAAGGCTGGCTTCCCTTCTCTCTGAATTACCCACCCCCACACTCCTCCCCATTTTTTTTTTCACAGCTTTTCCTATATTCACTATCAGATTTTTCTACTGTCCATGAGCATCTCGTAGTCTAAGGCACCAATCTGTTACAATTTGAAAATGCAGCTTTGACAAACTAACATGCACTACATTTGATCACCTGCTGTTTAAAAAGTATTCTTTTTTTTTTTTTTTTAGACGGAGTTTTGCTCTTGTTACCCAGGCTGGAGTGCAATGGCACGATCTCGGCTCACCGCAACCTCCGCCTCCTGGGTTCAGGCAATTCTCCTGCCTCAGCCTCCTGAGTAGCTGGGATTACAGGCATGTGCCACCATGCCCAGCTACTTTTTTTTTTTGTATTTTTAGTAGAGATGGGGTTTCACCATGTTGACCAGGATGGTCTCGATCTCTTGACCTCGTGATCCACCCGCCTCGGCCTCCCAAAGTGCTGGGATTACAGGCTTAAGCCACCGCGCCCGGCCAGTATTATTTCTTAGTTACTTGTCGCCAGTAGTTTTAAGCCCCCCTTAGTGAGATTCTCTGACAGGTACAGCTTTCCTTCTGTCACATTCAATTGTACCCTCTTGTATTCATTTTTAACATCACTAGTCTTTTTTGTGAAAGCCATTGTCACTTGCACATCAGCCACCTGTCTGTCTTTAGGATATGCCGTGTGGAATAGGGTAACCACACTGGACATGCTGAGAGTTAGCCTGCTTGGGAATCATTGAGATGAATCACCCTGTCTAAGTCATTGTCTTTTTTTTTTTTTTTTGAGACAGAGTCTCGTTCTGTTGCCCAAGTTGAAGTGCGGTGGCGCAACCTTGGCTCACTGCAATCTCTGTCTCCCGGGTAGCTGGGACTACAGGTGCGTGCCACCCATGTCCAGCTAATTTTTTGTATTTTTTAGTAGATATGGGGTTTCACTATGTTAACCAGGATGGTCTCTATCTCCTCACCTCGTGATCCACCTGTCTCGGCCTCCCAAAGTGCTGGGATTATAGGCGTGAGCCACTGTGCCTGGGCTAATTTTTGTATTTTTAGTAGAGATGGGGTTTCACTATGTTGGCCAGGCTGGTCTCAAACTCCTAACCTCAAGTGATCCGCCTGCTTCAGCCTCCCAAGTGCTGGGATTACAGGCTTGAGCCCCCGTGCCTGGCCTGTCTTAAACTTGGTGGTCACTTCTATGCCTCCTTGGCCACTTGGTTACTGGCCTTGCTCCCACTGCCCAGGTGGGATGTGGGTTTGGCTCTGGGCAGCCACTTGTAGGGGAGTGGAGGACAGGTGGAGTGGAGCTGGCCTGCCAGAATCTTCTGTGACTGAGTCGGCAGTGACCGTCATTCTCCACTCCCGTGATGAGTGTTCCCTTGATGAGTACCTAGGCAGGGATGGGAGAGCTGCAAACACAGGCGAAGGTCCCGCTGGGTGTGTAGAAGGGGTATTCTGTTAGTCTATCTCGATAATTGTCCACAGCTTCTTCTGGAAAACATAAAATTAACATTCCATTATTATTAGCTGATGCCAAGCTTGTAGTCATTGTTTCCTGAGCTATTACTTTTTAAACTGCTGCTTTCTTTGCTCTAGTGTATGCAGTTTTTGGATTTACCAGCGTGGTGAACCTCATCATAGGACTGGAGCAAGATGGAATCATTGACGGGTTCATGACACACTACTTGAGAGAGGTATGGGGGTCACGTAGTGATTATGAGGCTTAAACCAAAGGCCACACCCGGATTACATGACTCAGAGACAGAAGTCCTCTCATTTAGTGTGAACAGGTATGATACGCAGGCTTTCATTTCCTGTAATAGCCGTAAGTCGCTTGTTCACATGGAAAGTGGAGCAGAAAGGACGGTTAGATCATGGGAGGCAATTCTCTGCAACCTTCAGCTCTCACGGCTTCTCTCACTCATGACTCCACACATGACCTACTTTTCCTCTTTCTTTGTATTTAATATAAATAAGGTACCTTAAATGAATTTACTATTTGTGTGTCTGTTAATACAGGACTATCTCAGAAACCCCAAATCAGGCTTACATTTGTAAAGGACCAAACACACAGGCACTTAATGAAGTCATTTGATTGTGATGGTTGGCACTCCCCAGCACACTGCTCAAATCGCAGCTTTAGATAGCTGCCTGGGTACTCGAGAGAGCTAATCCTATTTTCTTATTTTATGGTATGCTGAACCCAGCCCCAGAGAGGTTAACTGACTTACTCAAGGTCACATAGGAGATGAGGAGCAGGGCTCAAAGCAGATTCTTCCTCTATGTTCAAATAATGGGGAACTTTGTATGTACGCTATGGGAGTTTGGGTTTTATCTTGTCTGTGAGAGAAGATTTTGTCAGTGAATAACAAAGGCAGCTCTGGGAAGGATGGGCTTGCAGGGAAAGGTCCGTGTGATGAGCTGGGGCACCAGTCAGGAGGCTTCCTCGGGACCAGCAGGGGCATAAACGTGGCCAAGCAGAGGCAGCGCGTGGGAAGTAGAGAGAAGGATGAACTTTGAGAATCGGAATGGCTAGAATGAGTAAGACTTGGGGACAAGTTGGGGATGATGGAAAGGGTGAGGCCTAAGACAACGTCCTGATTCCTACTTTGGAGTTTGGAAGACTGCAGCTGTTTATACACCAGAGAGGGATAAGAGGAGGAATTTAGTTCTGCAGACATTTGTTGAAGGGGACTCTAGGGTGAGAAGACCTGCTCCCAGCAAGCCACAAGGTCAGCATGAATTATTAAGACCAGCCACTGGCTCTGGAAAGCAGGGTCGCCCCTGGCCACCCCTCTGGTCATTGCCAAGGATCTTTTGTCAAAGATTTGGCTTGGTCTCCATGAGTTTGCTGTACAGCCAGGATGTCCTCCAGGAGCTCCCTGCTTGATGTGGTAGGGAGATGGCATTGTCCCAGGTGCAGTGACAGAGACTCACTCCAGGCACAGAAGTACACAGAGGAGAAATTAAGTACACAGAGGAGGCATTCTGGAGAGAAGGGACAGTTTGGGCAAAGGCTTGGAGAGGAGAAAGAGCATGTGCCTCCCCTGGGGCCACCAATCTGCAGGTGTGAGGCTGAGTTTCTATGGGGAGGTGGAGTTTCAGATGCTGGCAGGGCTTTGCAGGTCTTGAGCTCTAAGGAGCAGTCCTGGCAGACAGAGGAGCCATCTGAGTGCAGTTGGTACCTGAAGGTCTGAGAGGAGAGGGGCTTGCCTATGAGGAGGTAGAGAGAATAGGGTTGAGGTTGGGACTTTAGAGGCCATGGCCAGAAGAATAAAAGCCTCTGAAGTGGACTAAGGGCAAAGAGGCAGAAGGAAAACCTGGGGAGTGGAGGCCACGGAGCCCAGAGGAGGGAGGTTTCAGGAAGGAAGCGGTTGGTGAGAGGGCTGGAGGCTGAGTTGGCAAGGGTGGTAACCACTGGGACAGATGGGGTACCAGAAGGGGGACTGGTGTGTCACTCTGGTGGCAAGGTCTGCAGGGCCAGGCTCCGGGGACCCACCTGTGATAGATAGGAGATGGGACTGTGTTCAGCAGGCTGTGAGAAGTTTTGGGAGTTTTAGAGTAGGGGAGCGACATGCCAAGAGCCAGGCCTTGAGAATCTTCATGTGGCAGCAGGAGTGTCGTGGGCTGGAAGGAGGGGAGAGAGGTAGGGGGGCCATTTGGGAATGTAGCCATGGTCCTCTGAGGGACACTGAGGGCTAGACCTAATGCTGTAAAGAAGAGGGAGAATTGCCAGGGTGACACTGTAGCAATAAAATGGAGATTTGCTGAAAGACTTGATAAGAGAATGAGGAATGAAAAAACAACCCCATGATTTTGACCTTGGTAAGTTGGATGGTATCACTATTAATGCAGAGAGAGCATGGCTGGTGTGGTGGCTCATGCCTGTAATATCAGTGCTTTGGGAGGCAAAGGTGGGAGGATCACTTGAGGCCAGGAGTTTGACACTGCAGTGAGCAATGATTGCACCACAGCACTCTAGACTGGGTGACAGAGCGAGCCCCTGTACACACACATACACACACACACACACACACACACACTGTGGGGGGGGGGAGAGAGAGAGAGAGAGAGAAAGAGAGAGGCGCAAGGTGGACAGCTGGTGAGGGGAGAAGCTGATGAATTAAAAGCGTTCAGGCAAGTTGAAAGGGCCTGTGGACCATGCAGTTAAAGATGCCCATCAAGCCACCAGGAGAGGACGGCACTGGATCCGAGAGCCAGGTGTGTTAGCAATGGAAGACTGAAACCATAAATCAGATGTATTCTTCTGTCAGAGCAAGTCTGAGAGAAAGGAAGGGGTACTGGCATGGGTATAGAAGCAGAACCTTGATTCTGTTTTCTGCTCCTTTGTGATTTTAATTTGATTTGATCTGTGGGAGAGATGACAGAGCAGTCCCTGCCCCAGGGGAGCATGAAACTTGAGAAGAAGCCCTGCTTGCTTGGCAGATTGATGGGCTGGTTGATCTCCACTCTTCCTTGTCGTAGAAAGGACTTAAGGCATCCTACGGCATGAAAAAAGCCAGGACAGCAGGAGCATGGGAGAAAGGAGAAAGAAAAACAAGGTGGGGCCAAAGTAACAGTAAAAATCCATGGAAAATAGACAGTGACTTTCTAGAAGCTACCTGGAAATGTAACCACCTAGAAAAGGGAAATGTTTGTCATATAAGCTTGTGTTCAGAACATTAACATTTTCCCAGAAGTATGGCTCTTCTTCGTCTCTGTTAGATATACTAGCTACGTGACCTTAGGCAAGTCTTGTAATCTCTTAGAGCCTCTGTTTCCTCATCTATAAAATAGATTGTTGGGTTGCTGGGAAGGTGGAATGAGGGGTTGGGTGTGAAGCTCTGAGTTCAGTGCCTGCCTGCCTATGTGTTGGTATGTGGGGAATGAGTGCTGTGCCATGCCCAGCCCAGCAAGCCACAGGATCAGCATGGATTATGAAGGCCAGCCACTGGCTCTGGAAAGCAGGGTCATCCCTGGCCACCTCTCTGGTCATTGCCAAGGATCTTTTGGTTTCCATGAGTTTGCTATATAGCCAGGATTGCCTATCCTATCATCTGCCTTCGCATCACAGTACAAACCTATGTTGATGCATCATAGGCCAATTGGCCAGGCATTCATTAATTCCATCCTCTGTGGCCAAACCCCGGTTTTGGTAGCTCCAGTGTAAAGTTGTATTTTTGCATTTCTACCAATTTTGTAGAAATAGTTTCCTTAGCAAATGAACGCGTTAGTTCTGCTGTTTTATTTTACTTGCAATACAGGTCTGATGTTCTGCATTTACATGTCTTAAAGTGGACTTCTTTTTAATGCTTTCTTTAGGGTGAACCATATCTGAACACTGCATATGGGCACATGATCTGCTACTGGGATGGCTCTGCTCATTATCTGATGTACCTGGTGATGGTGGCAGCCATAGCATGGGAGTAAGTCTCACTCTGTTGCCCAGGCTGGATCTTGGCTCACTGCAACCTCCGCCTTCCGGGATCAAGCATTTCTCCTGCCTCAGCCTGCTGAGTAGCTGGGATTACAGGTGCATGCCACCATGCCCAGCTAATTTTTTTTTTTTTTTTTTTTAAGTAGAGATGGAGTTTCATCAAGTTGGTCAGGCTGGTCTTGAACTCTTGACCTCAAGTGATCCGCTCACCTTGGCTTCTCAAAGTGCTGGGATTACAGGTGTAAGCCACCATGCCCAGCTTGAAGGAACATTTTCCTAGCATTGAAGATTAGGAGTATATGTCAGCAGTCACTTGTCTTCACCTTTGGGGTTTTGGCCAAAATTCTGTGACCCCAGGAAACGTCCATTTAACATTATCATTGTAAGTATGACTGATACTTACAATGATTTAAGATATGGATCCAATTTCCTTTCTTCTTTCAAATTTCTTTTTCCTTTCATGCTGTGAGTTTCACACAGAATAGAGAAATGCAGGAGTCCTGTGGCAGGGATGATCATGCTGTAGTTTAACAGAAGACATAGCAGGCACAATTTCCTATTTAAAAGGACACGAAGAAAGTTCTATATCACATGGCAATGAAGTTAGATAACCAGGGTTCTTTGTTTATTCCTCTCGATTCAGTAAGTTTTAATTCATGTACTTTACTAGTTTGAATAAAAAATAATATTGAGGATAACTTTTTTGCTTAGCATTCTAAGACAAGTGTACCAAGATTTTTTTTTTTTTTTTTTTTTTTACAGGGAAAGTTACAGAACCATTGGCCTATATTGGGTTGGATCTATTATTATGAGTGTGGTTGTTTTTGTGCCAGGAAACATTGTAGGTAAGAACTTTATCTTAAAGTTGACTTTTCTTTTCTAAAACAATGGGGCTTGTTTTTAAATACAGAAGCTTTCTTTGGTTATAATAGAACCAAGTGATTCCAAGCTTACCAAAAACCTGTTTTGGAGAATAATTCCTTTTTCTCGCCTTTAAAAAAATACCTTTTTAGAAGTGCTTTTGAGCAATTTTCTGAAGTGTGCATTGAACAATTTGGCAGTCAAGTATCCTGATTTTTAGAAGGATCTTGAGGGAGTGAATATGGTGTTTATGGCTATATTTAGCATGCTAGTATGTAACTCCTAACACATTACGAGAACTCCAAAAATGTACTTGGATATATTATTAATGTGTGCAGGAAGTCAGGATATTAAATAGATATAGATATATACAAACATATATAGATACCTATCTAGATGTATTTTTTTTTTTTCTGTTGCCCAGGCTGGAGTGCAGTGGCATGATCTTGGCTCACTGTAACCTCCACCTCTCGGGTTCAAGCAATTCTCCTGCCTCAGCCTCCCAGGCAGCTGGGACTACAGGCGTCCACCATCATGCCCGGATAATTTTTTGTATTTTCTTTTTTTTTTTAATAGAGATGCGGTTTCACCATATTGGCCAGGCTGGTCTCAAACTCCTGACCTTGTGATTCACTCGCCTTGGCTTCCCAAAGTGCTGGGATTACAGATGTATTTTTTGAGACAGGAGCTCACTCTGTTGCCCAGACTGGGTTGCAGCCTTGACCTCCTGGGCTCAAGCAGAATGTTATATTAAATATGCTTTTAAAATACCATAGATGGCACATGCCTGTTAATATACATCCAGTATTTTTTTTTTTGAGACGGAGTTTCGCTCTTATTACCCAAGCTGGAGTGCAATGGCGCGATCTCGGCTCACCGCAACCCCCGCCTCCTGGGTTCAGGCGATTCTCCTGCCTCAGCCTCCTGAGTAGCTGGGATTACAGGCATGCGCCACCATGCCCAGCTGATTTTTTTGTATTTTTAGTAGAGACGGGGTTTCGCCATGTTGACCAGGATGGTCTCGATCTCTTGACCTTGTGATCCACCCGCCTCGGCCTCCCAAAGTGCTGGGATTACAGGCTTGAGCCACCGCGCCCGGCCACATCCAGTATTTTTAATTGACCTTTTTAATTTGGCCTCATTAAAAATATTGTCTGGCCCACAGCAAAATTTTACATGACTTGAGAAGGGGAGGTATCCTAAATATTACTCGTGTTAGATATGCTTTTGGTAACTTCTTTCTCTTTCTCTCTTTTAAATAGGGAAGTATGGAACACGAATTTGCCCTGCTTTTTTCTTAAGCATACCATATATTTGTCTTCCTGTCTGGGCTGGTTTCAGAATTTATAATCAGCCACCAGAAAATTATAATTACCCCTCGAAGGTGATTTTATTTTTGATGTACCCTGTTCTCAAACTCATAGGGTTTACTCACCACCACTGGCCACTGAACTGTGCCTCTGTGGACTGTAGCATTTGGGGCATCCAAACAGTGTGACTGTTGATTATGTAGCATTAACTTACATCTTAGTTAATGTGGACAGGAAGATCTGTTTCTGTCTGAATACATGTGCTTCTGTTGGCAAGGCCATACTTTGGGGAGCTTCCTGTGCCAGTGCTCACATTGGCTCTAACCATCACATTCTGCATTAGTGTGTTGAGTGAAGTCCATAGCGTGTGGTTTGTCTAGGGTTACTAATGGCCTGGATTTTGAGCACCTGGGCTCCTTTGTGACACCTATTCATTTACTGCCCCAAGAGGACACTGGAGGGACACTGCTCCTCAAGGCAGTCCACATAGCCATACAATCTTGACTCCAGAGATCCAGGCCCACGGAAACTGGCTACAGGACATCTGAGACACCTCCCTTCCATTCACAGCCAAGGTGGTCAAGGTGAAACAATACTGGCCTGGCAGATACTCTGTTTAGGTCTTCGTTTCTAAGCTAGTTTCTCTATGTTTCTTTTCCTTTTCTAGGTATTAGATCATTTAGCAAGATCTTTTAAGCAAAACTGGTATATGAAAATACGAATTACTGGAGATACTCAGAATGCAACTATTCATTTTACAAAAGATTTTCAATGGAATTCATTAAAATACATTTTAATTGACAAATACTTCATTTGTAAACATTCAGACACCTGCTATGTAAACTCAGGCTGAGACACCGACAGCTGGTACTGTCTTACATTCCACTGAGGAAAGAGGTGGCTGTTAAAAAGAAAAAACAAATAGTCCATCCTTAGTCCTGGCTCTACCACTTCTGAAGGCTCCATGTCAGTGTGTCAACAGAGTAGGTATGCCATGAAGCATGCAGAACTGCTTATCATTATTTTTAATGTGAAAACAGTGACAGCCAGGGCCAAGCAGGGCATTGTCATACAGTACTGACAGGAACATAAATTCAGAATTGCTCTGCAAAGCAATTTGGCAATGTTATCAACCTTAACAAATTTAAACCTGGAAAACCCAGTAATTCTGCTTCTAGAGCCCTATCCTCAGGAAATCCTCACACAGATACCACCAAAGATTTACATACAAAGTTGTTCATCATTACATTAAGTCTAACAGGGAAACAATGCCTAAATATCCAACAGTGGGAGAATAGCTAAAGTGTGTTGTTTTCATGTGGTATTCCGTTTTAGAAAATTTTTAATCATAGGAAAGTGTTTATAATATAGATAGATGTGGGGGGCAAAAAAGAACAAATACAGATTTGTTTATATACTAAGTCCTACTTCTGTGAAAAATATGTATGTGTGTATATATGTATGTATGTATGTAGTGTGTGTGTGTGTATGTATCTACATGTATTACTAGAAAAGTATACCCAATGGTTAATAGTGGTGCGGCAGGTTAATGGTTTATTCTTAAAATTGCTTATCATTAAAATGTCATTTTAAGAAAAAATGTGGACTCATAGAGCTACAGGGGCCCTTCAGGAGATCATTTGGCCCAAACTCTTCATTTCACAGATAAGGAGACTTGAGGAGGGAAATGATTTTCCTAAAGTTCCATGGCCAGTAATTTACGATATAAACTGTGAACCTTTAAAATTTTCTTATCCATCATCATGACATTTAATGTTTCAGATTTCAGATTCTTCTTTGACACTTTGGGCCTGCTCTTTAGGTAGCCACTGTATTTTAGGTTATTGAAGAAGCCCAAACAAAAGACCTGCTGAGAAGACCGTTTGATTTAGTGTTGGTCGTGTGTCTCCTCCTGGCAACTGGATTTTGCCTGTTCAGAGGTTTGGTAAGCCTAACAGATCATGGTAACATAACACTGTGAAACTATTCATGTTTCCAAGTGGAAAAAACTTAGAAATATGTTTTTGTTTTTCCATCAGACTTCTTAGCAAACTGACAAACCATTCCTCTCATCAAAGCCTGAAGCCCCAGACTTGCTTCCTGCTGCTCCTGACCCCAGCCTCCTGCTGTCACCTCCTCCCATCCTTAGATCACCTCAGAAGCATCTTCCTCCTGGTTTTAGGGCATCTAAAACATCAGCCATCAGAGTCCCCTTCTTTTTTATTCCTTTGGTTTCTGACCCCAGCCTCCTGCTGTCACCTCCTCCCATCCTTAGATCAAGCTCTACTCAGAAGCATCTTCCTCCTGGTTTTAGGGCATCTAAAAAATCAGCCATCAGTCTTTTTTTTTTTATTGTTCCTTTGATGTTTCTGATTTAAATGTAAATATCTTTGGCTAAGGATGGCACCCTAGGACTGCAACACATCTGTGGCACAGAGCATCCCTGGGCTCTCAGGAGTAGGGGCGATGGGACTGAGGAAGGCGTACCAGATCAACAATTCACGTGTATGTAGGGTCGTGGGAATGTCTCAGTGATAAGAATAGTGTTGAGTAAATTCAGCTAAGGCCTGGAGTCTGCATTGATGTGACAGAAATACATTAAAGGCATGTGAGCATTTCATGTTTCCTGTTTTCTCTTTATTAATATTTTACTGCAGAGGTTAGGAAAAAGACCCACAGGCTTTGAAGTCAGAATCCTCGCCATTTACTAGCTGTGTGGCCTTGGAAAAACTACTTAATCTCTTTGACTCTGTCTTCCTCTCTGTAAAATAACACTAACTACTACAGTATTGTTTTGGAGATTAATGTACATCAAACACTTGGTAGAGGGTCTTATGCATAGTAAATGATGACTGTTAACTATTTTTATTCATCAGTGATCCTTCACAATACCCCAGTTTGATGATTTCTTCTTAGTAGAAATAAATTTGGGAAGTTTAGAATTATATTGTTAATTATATTCAGCTTCAGTGACAATTATTACTCTAAGCCTTTTGGTGTTGCATAACAGTTGGGGAGTAGAGTGGCAAGTGTAAGCCCATGTGGCTGACTTATTATTTCAGGGTCCTTGGGCTATTAAGGGCCTGTGCAGCTGGTTGGGTTCAGGGCCAATAAGCTGTTTTAAGAGATTTATCTTTTATCTGTGGAATGTCAGAAACTTTCTGGAGGAGAGTTGGCTAACAGGAGGAGCATGGGGAAGAGAAGTACAGAAGGCAAGACCATAGCTTTGCTGAGACCATAGGGCCACTGAAACTGTTCTTTGGTTAGTTTGTTGTAATTCTTGAAGTTCAACAACAAAAAATAGTGGGCCCCACCTGTATTCTTGCACAGCCATATCTCCTTCCCTGTGCACATGAGAAAATGTGTGCATGTCTTGGTTTGCATGCATGGTGGGTAGCGCTTTTGCAGATGGGCTTTTGGATTGGGGCCATTTTTACCAACTCTGCCACTGTCTTGTGTTCATATATGCTAACATTTATGGCCAAAGACATAAGGAATGGTGCCTGAGGGGAGGAAGGTGACTCAGAGGGGACCTAATAAGGTGCCAAAGAGACTTCCGGGCAAGAGGACCCTGCTTTCAAATCATTAGCTTTTACTGCCTCCAAAGGCCATATACTCTATGAGGCATTGGAGAGAGGAGGGTGCTATTTTCAAATCTTGCAATGCATAGTAAGATGAATTTGGTGTAGAAATATACTTTTCCTTCTGTAGAGAATAGTGGGCTAGTTATTTCCAGGAAAAGTGAAACTCATAATTTAAAGCAAGCTGTGCTTTGGCTGGCTAAACCTAGATACTTAAACTCTGAAAGGTACCCAAGAATAGAGCATTACTTTCCATTTCCTGCACCATAATTAACCTCTGCTTAACTTCCTTAAGAGTAAACCTGCAAAATATTCCCTTCATTGATGAACCTCTACAATGCATACCTTTTGTTAAACAGCAAAGCAACTTGTGACTAAACCTGGCACATTTAGCCTTATCAGCAAACCTAAGAACCAGATGTGATTGTATTTTTATAATGAGACTTTTTTTGTTCTTAGATTGCTTTGGATTGCCCAGCTGAGCTCTGCCGATTATATACGCAATTTCAAGAGCCCTATCTAAAGGATCCTGCTGCTTATCCTAAAATTCAGGTCAAGTAGTTATGAAGCCTGAGATTTTTCTAACATTAATTTTCTTTTAAAAAATGAGTCCCATATAGGAAATAGGAATTAATATTTTCAAAGACAAAAATGTAGAGAAATGCAAATCAAAACCACATTGAGATACCATCTCACGCCAGTTAGAGTGGGGACCATTAAAAAATCTGGAGACAACAGATGCTGGAGAGGATGTGGAGAAATAGGAATACTTTTACACTGTTGGTGGAAGTGCAAATTAGTTCAACCATTGTGGAAGACAGTGTGGCGCTTCCTCAAAGACCTAGAAATAGAAGCTCCATTTGACCCAGCAATCCCATTACTGGGCATATATCCAAAGGATTATAAACTGTTCTATTATAAAGACAAATGCACATGTATGTTCACTGCGGCACCGTTTACAATAAATAGCAAAGACCTGGAAACAACCCAAATGCCCATCGATGACAGACTGGACAAGGAAAATGTGGCACATCTACACCATGAAATACTATGCAGCCATAAAAAACGACGAGTTCGTGTCCTTTGTAGGGACATGGATGAATGTGGAAACCATCATTCTCAGCAAACTGACACAAGAACAGAAAATCAAACACCACATGTTCTCACTCATAGGCGGGTATTGAACAATGAGAACACATGGACACAGGGAGGGGAGCATCACACACTGGGGTCTGTTGTGGGGAACAGGGGATGGATAGCAGTGGGTAGGGAGGTTGGGGAGGGTTAACATGGGGGAAAATGCCAGATATAGGTGACGGGGGGGCGGGGGATGGAGGCAGCAAACTACATTGCCATGTATGTACCTATGCAACAATCCTGCATGATCTGCACAAGTACCCCAGAACCTAAAGTACAATAAAAAATAGATTTTAAAAGATAAAATAAAATAATGCAAAAAAAAATGTTTATTTTTTTGTATTTTTTAGTCAGGCCAAGTTAACTGCTAATTTGCTGATGATGTTATTTCTCTGTTCAATACAGATGCTGGCATATATGTTCTATTCTGTTCCTTACTTTGTGACTGCACTGTATGGCTTAGTAGTTCCTGGATGTTCCTGGATGCCTGACATCACATTGATACATGCTGGAGGTCTGGCTCAGGTACTAAGACTATTCTGTTGAGAAGATTTACTTGTGGTCTAGCTGTCATTGCTGAATATATGAAAAACTTCTCTGCTCAGTGTTTCAGAGTAGGAAGTAGCTATTAGACATGTCACCTTTTGTTCTGCAGTTCTTTGGAAGACATTTCTGCAAGTACATTTTATTTAAATCTCACCGTAACTATATGGTAGATGTGCCATCCAGTTACACAGAAGAGGAAACTGAGGTCCAGTGAAGTTAAGTGATTTGCCCGAAGTTAAACACCCAGCACACAATACTGTTGTTTTATAGAACTGTTTCACAATCTCTGAATACCATGGTTACTAAAAAAGTATTGAGAGCTGTCATCTTCAAAATATCCATCCAAATTTAAGACTTCAGAATTCCACTACACTATGCTATACAGAACCAGGAAAACTGGTTTAAAAAATATTCTGGGCCTGTCATTCGATTCATTTCCCACTGGCACCTAGCCAAATACTTGGCCTAGAGTAGGTGCTCAGTAAATGCTTACTGCATTGAACTGAAAATGAAATTATCTATGGAGAACTTCACATATAACATAAAGCACATTTTTAAACAAGAGAACTAGCAAAACAAATCAATCTTCTGAACAAGGAAGAAAATTATTAAGTAATTTCATCATTTTTTCTTACTAGAAATAAATGAACTTATCATTTAAAAACATTAGCTTCATCTTGTTCTTTTCAAGCAGTTATAAGAATGAGGTTCATCCAGACACTGTAAGCTTGTACAGTCAATTATATGCATGGCATAACAACCACGATCGCAAGACATACTAGGATTCACAGGGTTGAAAAACATAGTATTTAAGGGGTCAATGCATAAATTCTTTCAGTTTGAGGTAATAAATTATAAAATTAGAATATTAGTATCAAAAAAGTCGATGTAGCATCCAGAAGTAATAGTTCCTGTCCTTTCCTTGAGGGGCTTAAGGAGGAAGAGAACTAACATTTACTGCTCTTTGCTGGTTGTTTTTCCTTTGCAGACCTCTAAATACCAGATTCCTCAGTCCTTGGGCTTTATTTCTGTATTTTAGGTCTTTATTTTTGTATCTTTCAATACCAACTATAAGCTGATGACTTCCAATTTTCTACCTTCGGCCCAAACGGCTCCCAGACTCCTGTATTTAATTCCAAACTCAGTGTTTTTACTTGCATGTCTCACTAGCATCTCAGATTTAATGTATAAAGTAGGACCTGATCTCCCCACAAATTCTCTTCCATTTTTTCATTATCTGCATAAATAGTCCAATTGCATCTAGCAACTCAAGCCAGAAACTTGGAGTAATCTTTTTTTTTTTTTGAGACAGAGTCTCACTCTGTCGCCAGGCTGGAGTGCAGTGGCGCAATCTTGGCTCACTGCAATCTTCGCCTCCTGGGTTCAAGCAATTCTCCTGCCTCAGCCTCCTGAGTAGCTAGGACTAGAGGCGCGAGCTAATTTCTGTATTTTAAAAGACGGGGTTTCGCCATGTTGGTCAGGATGGTCTCAATCTCTTGACCTTGTGATCCACCCGCCTCGGCCTCCCAAAGTGCTGGGATTACAGGCATGAGCCACTGTGCCCAACCAAACCAACCAGCCAACCAGCCAGCCAACCAACCAACCAATCAAAAACTACCTACTTACAGAGTATAGGCTAAGGAAAAGAAGTCATGCCACAACTAAACAACGCATAAGATCAGAATACTGAATTAGTTATGTGATTTGTTTTGTACTTAGCAAATACTTGCTTATGAAATGGAGTCTCCTCTTAGGGGAGTATCTGACACATCCATCACAGAAAGCACTCTCCTGCCAGGTGTGGTGGCTCATGCCTGTAATCCCAGCACTTTAGGAGTCCAAAGTGGATGGACTGTTTGAGGTCAGGAATTTGAGACTAGCCTCGGCAACATGGTAAAACCCTATCTCTACAAATACAAAAATTAGGCTGCATGATGGCATGTACCTGTTGTCCCAGCTATTAGGGAGGCTGAGGTGGGAGGATCACTTGAATTCCGGAGGCAGAGATTGCAGTGAGCCAAGATTGTGTCACTGCACTCTCCAGTCTGGGAGAGACCCTGTCTCTCTCCCCACCCCAGAAAAAAGGCACTTTCTGTAACTTCCATCAGCATCTTTGCTTGCTAAAATTGCCATTCTTATTTAGAAGCCTTATGCATTCATGATCCCACTAACTTTACTAAAACTTACTTTTATTGAAACATCTAGTAAACTCTCAAGAGTCTATGTAACTTAATAATAAAAAAAAATTTGAAAAGTTCTTCATCAGTACAGGCCAATGGAAGAAATACTGAATAGTAGCTGGGCTCGGTGGCTCATGCCTGTAATCCCTGCACTTTGGGAGGAGAAGGCAGGTGGATCACCTAAGGTCAGGAGTTTGAGACCAGCCTGGACAACATGGTGAAACCCTGTTACCATTAAAATACAAATAAATTAGCCAGGTGTGGTGATAGGCATCTGTAATCTCAGCTACTTGGGAGGTTGAGGCAGGAGAATCGCTTCAACTGAGGAGGTGGAGGTTGTTGTGAGCTGAGATCACGCCATTGTACTTCAGCCTGGGTAACAAAGCGAGGATGTCTTAAAAAAGAAAAAGAAATAGCGAGTAGTTATTGGGTCCCTGATTTCAGACCATGTAATGCAGGAGTCTGTCAAATCTGCTGCCTTCAGAAATCAAAAGATCAAGGAAAGAGTAAAAGAAGACTGAATAAAATGAAACCAGGACACATTTTAGACTAAAGAGTTCCACTGGGGACTTACTCATAACCCAGCTACCTTTTCATATAAAATGCTAACCATAGGGTTAAAGCTGCAAGTGTAATTTGAAAGGCATTATAGGCTGCTTAGATCCACTTATTAGCATTTCCTATCAACTGAAGCATTTTCTCTGCTAAAATATCACTGAAAAAGAAAAAAAAAAGTTAGAGACAGTAGAGTTCATATGCTTAGGAGCATAAGTTCTAGAGGTGGACTGGTTCAGATTCTAGTCTGTTGTTGATGAGGACAATGACCAGGGCTACTTTACTCTCTGATCCTCAGTTTCCTCTTCTGTAAAGCTAGGATAATAACAGTAGCTTTCTCATGGAGTTCCCGTGATGGCTGGACAAGGTAATATATGTAAAGGGCTTAGAACAGTGCCTGGCACATAACAGCTATGTAACTCTTTGTTGCTATTATTACTGGTAGAAGACTCCCTGTAAGATTTTGGAGGAGAAATGCCTTGTTTTTCAGAAGAGTAATCTGTAGACAAACTAATTAAATTACATGTATTGTAATTACCAAGAAAACAAAGAAACTAGGAGAAAGCTTTGGGACAGACTCACCATGGGCCTGGTAAGGAGCCTGCCATCCCACAGCCAGTGAAGCATGTTCAGTTCCACTTCAGTCGGGTGCTGCCCTCAGACTCTCCAACTCCCTGGCTAAGTAGGTGCCATGCCATGTCCTTTTCTCACAAAGAGATATGGATGCTTATGTGTGAATAATTTGATTATGAGGAGTTGACTCTACTGGAAGTAAATTTTTTTTATAATTTTTTAAAAAATTCAGACAGGGTCTTGCTATGTTGCCCAGGCTGGTCTTGAACTCCTGGACTCAAGTGACCCTCCTGCCTTGGCCTCCCAAAGTGCTGAGATTACAGGCATGAGCCATCGTGCTTAGCCTGGAAGTAAATTTCATATGGTTTTTCCTTCATGGAGATGTTAAGAAAAATCTTAAAGTAAAGGTTCAGGAAGAACATGGATAGCTGGGATACTAATGCAAATCTCATTTTATTCATTTGTTTCTGGTGTGGTTCACTGCTAAACATCTTTAACAATATTTAGTATTAAATTATACTGGATTTAACATCTTTATGTGCTTATTATCTTTTCATGGAGAAACTCACAGTAAAAAAAGTCAAAAACAAAGAACCCAGGTTTTCAACAAAGTGGAGCACCAGATAATGAATAGGTATTTCAGTTTTGCATTTGTGCAAGTGCTTGGCACTGTCTAAGCATGTCACAAACATCAACTCATTGAACCCTCATAACAACCTATGAGGTGAGTTCCATACCTCACCCAAGGCTATATTGCTGGTTTGTGGTGGAGCTGTGATTTGACTCTGGATGTCTAGTTCCCAAGTCAATGTTCTGAACCCACTCAACTACGTTGCTCAGAAAACCCTAAGAAAAGGTAAGAGTTCTGGATTAGCTATTTATACTATATTAGCCAAAGAGACTAGCTATTGTCCCAGTGGTCACCTTAGTATTCTGCCTATAACATTCACATGGACATGTAACACACTTTCATTTCTTCCTTCTGCAATCAGAATTGACTTTTTTAGTTATCCTTTACAGACTGTCTCTATACATGTAAGAAAACAGCTATTAAAATTTAACCTTTGTTCACTTTATGTCTCATTTGCCATTCCAATCATCCATTCTTAAAAAAAATCAGAGTATATCTCTTATTTCTGTAATGTAAAAATGATTGAGAATGAAGTGAAAGAAAAATTATTAGGGACTCAATCTCACATTGCTAAATTCTGGAGAAATATCTAGGATCAACAACTCATACCTATAATCCTGGGCCTCCTGTTAATTCGGCAGCACTGAGTTCACTGAGCTACTGGACCCCAGCATAGGCTCAGGCTGAGCCCTTCAGGTCCTGCCATGAGAGGCCTCATGCTGCTGGGAACATCACCCAGGAGACAACCTGCAGCCCCTTATTAGCTATGTGCTTGGGAAGGGAAGGAAAGGAAACCGCTTCAGGTGAGACTGATGTTTTTCTGAACTTCAGAACCCTGAACACTTAACATCCTATGCCTTAGAAGAAAGCTATAGTCAGGTGCTCGCTCAGCTGGAGGTGTGGCCACCATAAATATACCCATTAGAACTATGAGCAGTACCGGAAGCTGCACATGACTGGCCTCAGAGTTTTTCTCTCATACAAACGCCTCTTTTGATTAAGAATGTTAAAATCTTTGTGCCTTGTTAAATAATTGTGAATAAAGAGGCCTACTAAAATACATACAAAAATAGAGAAATGCTTTGTAGATCCTTTTTGTATTTTGACAGTCACAAGTCCATTGTTGTTGAACGTTTATTGAGCTCTAACAACGTGATTGATAGGTGCCACACAAAACATTAGACACAGTACCTGCCCAGTGGGCTTACAATCTAATCTAAGGACATGAATCTTTCTTTTTTTTTTAGACAGAGTCTCGCTCTGTCACCAAGGCTGCAGTGCAATGGTGCGATCTTGGCTCACTGCAACCTCCACCTCCTGGGTTCAAGCAATTCTCCTGCCTCAGCCTCCCAAGTAGCTGAGATTACAGGTCCCTGCCACCACGCCTGGCTAATTTTTTATAGTTTTAGTAGAGATGGGGTTTCACTATGTTGGCCAGGCTGGTCTTAAACTCCTGACCTCAGGTGATCCACCCACCTTGGCCTCCCAAAGTGCTGGGATTATAGGCGTGAGCCACTGCGCCCAGCCATGAATCATTTTTTAATTTTGCCATGAGTTTGCTGTTCACGAAAATAATACCTCCTGGTTAGTGCAGGAAAAGAGTCTATGGAATCATTGACTTTTTATGCAGGCTTCCCTATGCAAGGAGGCACAACTGTTCATGTTGTATTTATTCTCTCAAAGTATGGGTGGCATTTCCCCAAATTTGGTGATTTTGTGATGTGTAGAAGTATCTATAAAGATAGAACAACCAAACCCACATTTCTGTAAATCAGGGTTCAAATTTGGCCTCTAGTCCAGAAGAAAATGTTTGGTTATATATTCAGAAAAACACTACTATTCCAAATAGGCCCTAAAGAAAAAGTATGGGAGCTACGCTCCTGCTCAGAGTTCCTAACATGTCCAGAAAGCACCTCCTCACAGCAGCCCTGGAAGTGCTCTTTACTCTCAAGGTCTTTTGCCTTCAGAGCCCAGAGATGCAAATATATTTGCTAGGTTCTGCCTGGGCATCTACCCAGGGGAGGTGTATCTGAGGGCCAAGTCCTCTCAGTGCCTCATGGATCACAGTGCAGATAATCCCCATGTTGGTCCTTGGCAATACATCATGCTAATTTAATTTATATCTCCAGAGTAGCAAAAATGTACCAGAGGTCTCCAGAATATATCAGGAATTTGTAAAAATGCAGCACATTAAAATATCTGCCACTGATAAAAATTCTTAAAGATGCTGCTTATAAAAATTTGTCTTTTTCTTGTCATGGTGAAGTGTGGTCTAACACCTTTATCTGTGAATCACTCAGCAGAATAAATTGGTTTCGTATGGAAGGAAATGTAAACTAACTTATATGTATTTAAAGCAAATTAGTTCTTCATTTCTGTTACTTCTATGCCTTCTTTACAGTGCAGTCTCTTGTCTTTCATCCTGATGAACTGATAATTTACTACTTATTACATTTAGATTCCCAATCCTTCATTCGTGTATATCTTGAATTTCAGCAAGATATAAAAATGCAGACTCCAGAGGTGCATTTTATAATGATGCAAGCCTTCTGAGGAAATTCTCTGACAGGAGTTTTTAATCCTCCTGTGGTCTGTATTACCCTTTCCAATACGATTTTCCTCTGAGCTTGTGAAAAACACAAAAAAAGACCAATTGGCACATTCTGAATGTGTTTTCTGAACAAGTATATAAGTAGAGAGGGAGGCCATTTTGCAAATGCAGATAATGCTGGCAAGTCATACTTCTAAATAAATTATAATTTGATTTGAAAAGGTTGCCTGCATGTACATTTACCGTTTAACAAAGAGAAACCGAACTCCCACCTCCAAGTTGATAACAGCCTTATCTTACAAACAACGCTTAGTATTTTAAAAGCTGCAGAAAAAAATGCATGAAAAAATGAATAAACAAAAAATACATAGTGAAAGGGCTATTAGCTCTTGCTCCAAGGAGTAGATGAAAGACTGATAAATGAAGCTGAGGTCCCCAGTGCTTCCCTTTCAATAGTTTGTTATGCTAAAAATATTACAGTTTTTAAAAATTCTGCACTTTCTTCATTTTTATTGGAACACAATTTGTGAACCACAACTGAGTCTATGTAGGATCCTCAGGCTGCAAATAAGAAAAAAATTTGACATTTTATTCAGATTTTTCTATTAGATTGAGCCACTAATGTTTGGTAAGGGGCACTTGATGGTTAAAAAACACAACTGGCATGATAAAACCACACTAAATAACGTCTACTTTATTTGAACAGTTATATCAAGAATGGCCCTAAATTTAATCAATGACTAAATTTAATGAAAGACTCTGTTCTGTTTGAAGGTATTTTGCCTGCAGGTGAGATTGGTTTTGAGAGCACAGAAACGTAGCCTGAATGAAGCATTCAGAACTCATCGTGCATCCAACTGAATACATTTCATGCTTACCCAATTTTTTTTTTTTAATACAACAGGCCCAGTTTTCTCACATTGGTGCTTCTCTTCATGCTAGAACTGCTTATGTCTACAGAGTCCCTGAAGAAGCAAAAATCCTTTTTTTAACATTAAACATAGCATATGGAGTTCTTCCTCAGCTCTTGGCCTATCGTTGTATCTACAAACCAGAGTTCTTCATAAAAACAAAGGCAGAAGAAAAACTGGAATAAAAATATTACTTCATGTTCTTCCTTTCTAAATTGCTGACTTTTGTTATACTGGTACTGTTATTTTGTCCCATTTCACTCTCTTCCCATATATGAATGCTTAAGAATATGTACATTCTTGCTCTGCACTGTATGTGTGAGCTATATGGTATTGTGTGAGTAAATTTTTTTTAAAGGAAAACTGAAATTCTTGAGAAACAGTTTGTGTAAAGAAATAGAATCATTTGTGAATAAATGTGACCATCCATCTCAATATTCTATTTGACATATGAAATAATTATAAGTGCAAAACATTACAATTTAGTGCCTACAACAGTGAGCATGAAATGAAACTATTCAAGAGAATATGGCCTGTGCATATTAAAAGAATTTAAAACAGTGAATGCAGATTGGAGAAATAACTTTTGCAATATGTATACATTTCATTATAAACCTCAATATAAAAGGCAAATCATCAGAATATTTTTAAATGTTGTTTGGAAAATGTTTTCCAAAGGAAAGTTTATTATTTGCTGCTGTTTTAAGAAAATTACTAATTTTTTATGTGAAGTTAAATAGCTAAATAGGGATCAATAACTTTATCACTACCCTTAATGAACACTTATTTTATTGGTGGCAGGAAACATTTCTATCGTATTTCATGTATTTTTTTTTTTTTTTTTGAGACGGAGTTTCGCTCTTGTTACCCAGGCTGGAGTGCAATGGCGCGATCTCGGCTGACCGCAACCTCCGCCCTCTGGGTTCAGGCAATTCTCCTGCCTCAGCCTCCTGAGTAGCTGGGATTACAGGTACATGCCACCATGCCCAGCTAATGTTTTGTATTTTTAGTAGAGACAGGGTTTCACCATGTTGACCAGGATGGTCTCGATCTCTTGACCTCGTGATCCACCCGCCTCGGCCTCCCAAAGTGCTGGGATTACAGGCTTGAGCCACCGCGCCCGGCCTTGTGTATATTTTTAATAAAATTATTTTTGGCCTCTTATGAAGACAAATCTTACTAAAATTTGAAACATTTTATATATACACATAAAATTGCTTTTTAAAGAAAATATGTGAGTTGTATATTCCAATTCAAAATGCCATCTACATTCCCCTTATGTTTCAGTGTGGGCAATGAAGAGGCCTTTTGATGAATTAATTAAATTTCATTAATTTAAAAGTACATTCAAGTATTCAAAATTAAAAAGTACCTTTTAAGGAAAAAGTATTAGATTGACATTCCTACTATCTTTTTATGAACTTTTCATGTTAGGGATTGTATGTTGAGTATACTAAAGAAAATCAGTATTTACACAATGAAAGAAACGCACCAAAAGTACAGCCACCTCCTCAGTGTGTCCTGGAATGATAAATGGATTGATGCTTTCATACCCTTAGCTGCCATCATCATTATTAACGGCCCTAGGCTTTTAGATCTGCTCACATTTTCTCATGTTTTTATTAGCTCTCACCAAGAAAACCAAAAGAAAATGGGATACAAATCAATGCATGGATAGTATCAAGTTACAAAATCTAGGGTCTACTGGGCTGGTAAATATGCACGTGTAAGCAAATCATGTAGTCATTTTCCCATCATCCCCCTCAGTGTTTTCAAAAATAATGTAACACCCAGAGAGTGCTTAAAAAAAAGAAAGAAAAAGAAAACCCTCACCTGCACTTGATTCTATTGTTAGCTTGCTGTGAACAATTTTTGCTTTAATATACGAATTACATTAATACCTCACATTACATATATGAAGCCAAATTACACTAACTTAGTTTGCTTACAACCTCAAATCTTACTCCCAGTACACATTCCAATAAATTTATTCTGTAAAAACAATACATTTTTTTGTTTTTGATTTTTTTTTTACAGTAAACTTTTCAGCTACAAACCTTGAATACGCGAAAGATGTTCCAAGGACAAGCATTAACAAGATTGATAAAAATCAAACTGACTAAATGTGTTCTCACAATATAAGCTGGCATAAAAATAAATAAAATTCTCTATTTCACAATAGCAACAATAATGTACACATAATAATGGTTTGTGGATGAATATTAACTATTCTAATTGTAGTTTCAAAAGAAAACAGTTTATTTTAAAAGTCTACATTTAAAAGTCAATGCTTTGTCTAGTTTCCCATAGGGCTGTTGCTGTTTCTAGCTTTAAAATGTAAAGTACCCACCTTGAGTGCTTAGCTCAAAATTGTATTGGCACTGGGAAAAAATAAATCATTGCCTTTATTTTGGAGTAACACAAAAAGACTCACTAACTTCACATATAGAAACTTAGTTTGTGTACATAACAATATGAATTTTGAGAAGTATAAGCTGTCAACTAGCTATTTCTAATACAGAATAGATATTTTACAATATGGTTAAACTTTACACATGGCCTCAAAACTGAAGGACAATTTTAATTTCGTCTTCAATATACCAACATTATGTATTTAGGATTTAGTTCTTGGGTTCTGTCACAGAGAGGAAATTCCATTCTTAAGCATTATGTTGAGTGGTCATCTAAAAATGTTAATTTATATTTAACTGAGTGTTTGGTGATGGTGGGGTAAAGGCAGGAAAATGATGATCGTAACTGCCTTGATAAAAGGATCTTAGACATGTATAAGTCTGTGCAAAAATCTTGATAATCCTTAGTGGTTAAGGGCAACTTCATGCAACCAAATAACATGAAATTAAATCAGTAACTTTTAAAAAAGGCTAAAATGTCTTTTCCCCCCGAAACACAACGAGGAATATGAATAATGTACATACAAACTGGGGTTCTGTCAATGACAACAAGGACTATGTGTTGGTTCTTATCAAATCCAAGAATATTAGACAACCAAACATATAACCTTCTTGTGGTTTCTCTTAATATGCAGCATTCATTATGGTAGTTAGGTCTGTAAAAAAAAAAAAAAGAAAGAAAACAAGCCTTTAGATGATTTAGGATACTACCAATGAGAGCTACCCACACCTAGATAGTACATAATTGGGCTTTCTGAAATTTTAATATGCACTGCAGCATTAACAATACTTACTGAGCAAGAGCAGCTTCTGTGGCTTTGCTTTAGACCTGTCAGTGCAAAAAGTTAAAGGAAATGCTAGGGTATTTTTAGTGCCCATAGAAAAAAAGAATAAATCCTGTCTATTGTCTGCTAGGGCAGAGTGCAGCAGTGTACATTCTACAATTCTAGGACTATGTTTATTGCTGGAATACATCATCAATGGAGAAATTGATATAATCTATCTTTGTGAGGACTGTGCTGTCAGAAAGAAAGGTAAGTTGTGTAAAATTTAAAAAGCACTTAGAGTGTGCATAAATTAGTCTTCAGAATATTTATAACAATTACTTTGACAAATGGCTCAAACAAATATAAGAGTTAATTAAGATGTACAAAGTTTTTGATTTCTTGCTTTTGGCAAAAACAAAACAAAACAAAACAAAACATAAAGATTAAGAGGAAGCCTAGATTTCTTTTTAAAATTTAGATGGCATCCATGTGACAAAGAGAAAAATAAAATATTTGTTTTATAAAATAATTATATTTCTATTTGGGTCCCACTTTAAATTGTGTCTGGTTCTATTTCCCCAAAAGGATGCTATTTTTTTTCCGCTCATCATTAACCCAAATATATTAAACTCCCTAGTAACACCCTCATGGGATGAATGAAAGAGGGAACTCAGGCCTTAAATATTTTTTTCTAAAAACAGCCAACTTCCACTCTTAATTTCACTAAATGAATGAACATGTTTGTAAGCACATGTGCACACTCATGGGTATGTTCTCATTCAGAGAGCCAAAATATATACTAAATGGTATATATTATAATAAATGATTCCAGTACCTTCAAAGGAGAAAAACTTTCCAAACCTTCCATCACCTTAAGACGGCAGAAACACACTTTTTAGGTTTCTGTCCCTACCAAAATGGGGAAGTGAATCTTAAAAAAATTTTTTTTTACATTTATGAACTTGAAAAATGGAGTGCCTGGTGACTCCTAATTATTTCTTAACAAAAACACCAATTAGAAGATTGTACTCACAGATACTTTGGAGGATCTTCCTCTCTTGTGAAGGAGGAAGACACCCATTAGAACAATGAAACACTGTTAGTCAACCAAAAAACCTTTTTTTTTTTTTTTTTTAAGACGGAGTCTCGCTCTGTTGCCTAGTCTGGAGTGCAATGGCACAATCTCGGTTCACTGCAACCTCTGCCTCCTGGGTTCAAGTGATTCTCCTGCCTCAGCCTCCTGAGTAGCTGGGATCACAGGCGCGCACCGCCATGCCCAGCTAATTTTTATAGTTTTAGTAGAGACAGGGTTTCATCATTTTGGTCAGGCTGATCTCATATCTCCCTGCTTCGGCCTCCCAAAGTGCTGGGATTACAGGCATGACTCACCACGCCTGGCCGAAACGTTCTTTAACAATATTTTCTTATGATTACTGTGAAAGGCAATAAACTCTATGTTTACCTTGGTAGAACACTTATAGTAAAAACTACTCAATCCACATCAAAGAATATTTTTGGAAGAGGTGGTCCTATGGCAGCCTCAGAGTAGAATTAATATCCCAAACAAAGTGAAGGGAGCACCAAGAATGTGACTACAATTTTAAAGACATGCTTTTTGGGTCTTTAAACAAGGTGCTGTCAAATGGGTTCTTTGTAAAAGCAAATTACAAACTTTGAGATTAAAAAAATTCTCCCAAACCATAATCACTCTTTGCATACATGTACTGAAAACCGTATCTTGCTAATTCATCATGGTATATATTCTGGACATGGTACTCTGTCTCCTAGGTCCGAAGTCTCCTCTGAGTAAATAGCCAGAAGTGGTTCCTTGTGCACTGGTTGCCATTCATCCCTATAGTAGATAACAGCTGGAGAATCCAATCAGATTTTCTCTGGAGGTATCTAAATGTGAGGTACACTGAGAGGCTATAGGGTGGCAGCGAAGCTGAAGGATACCCAGAACACTACTATAAGCAGAAGCTATGAAGCAATAGAAGCCATAAGGATCTTTTCAAGAAGTGCCATTTTGATATGAAGGAATGTCAACATGGCTATTCAGATGTGACAGTTTGGCACATTGTAAAAAATTAGTAACATCACTTCTAGAAAAACAACTATTTTTTGCAAATGTTAAAATTTGAGCATTTAGTGAAAATTAGAATTTTGAATCCTCCATGACTGACAGTTTTCCAATACTTAAAGACTTTTTCTTTTTTTAATAAACAGGGTCTTTCTCTGGTGCCCATGCTGGAGTGGA